CGTGCCTGTTCTCTCACCGTAAGCCTACAGAGAGCATGTTGTCAAGCATTCTTTATTTTTGCCATTCTCGTAGGTAATATCTTTATGTACAGTTCATTTTTTAAGCACTGTTTTAAACAAAACTTAATATGAAAGAAAAATAGCAGACATTATATGGTAAAACCTAAATGATTTTATATAACTATATTTATGGCAGCCATTAAATAATTACTAAAAAATATACCAGCACAGAACAATGGTTTATTATTGGGTTGTCGGGAAAGTCATGATGTATTTTTTCTATGTTTTTTCTGTTGTAAAAAATGCGTCATGGCTTTTCTGACAACCCAATAGTTTCTTTGGCCAAGTCCCATTCAGGAGGCCTGCCACAGGTTGTCCAGTGATAGGGGTGCTTGGAAGTGGCTAATTTCAAAGCTCGCTTTAGAATGATTTTCAGGAGAATAATTTTCATTTTCACCAAAAACTAAAATTGGGGTAACATTTCCACCATACAGTTATTAAAAAAGAGAAACAAATCCAAAATGTTAATATTTCTCCCCATTCTAGAAGTGTAGTGTACTTACCACTGCATCCTGCTAAATACACATAAATACCGACATCTCCATATTCTTTTACAATCTGTAATAATGTTGAAATAAAGTTTAGTTTCTCCTGACGGTGCCAGATGCAAGTCTCTTTCTACCAACATGTATTTCGCTGATATAAGACACTAGTTCATTCACTTGAACTACTTTGCTTTGATAATTATGCATATTTGAGCTAATCATTTTAAAATGTTTGTGAAATTCTTTTGATTTTTATATGGACAGCAATAATTAGGGATATCAAAGAATTCTTGTTAAATTTTATTTAGGTGTAATAAAGGTATTCTGGTAATGATTTTAAAAAATCTTCTTGTAGAGACACATACTGAAATATTTACAGATGACATGATGACTGCAGTGTGCTTCAAAATAAGAGAAGCAGAAAGTGAGCGTAAGAATAAATNATTTCCCTGCAGTAAGACAAGTGCTTTTTATGTACATGGTAGAAGTGTATTGAAAATAGGTTAAAATTAAAAGTCAAGTACAAATTTGTAAGATACAGACATACTTTTTCATGCACTACTTTCAACCTATCAGCTACGACATGAGTACTCTGTGTAAAGCATTTGTTGAAGATGGCTGCTAAGGAATATGCAATGAAGTATTTTATATAGCATTGTTTAAAATCCTTAAGTTCTACTTTAATGGCTGAAATGAGGTGGGCCCTTTTCCGAAAGTTTCTAGTATAGCTGAGGTTCTACCACACATGCTCTTTCAGAAGGCAGCCTGTAACAGAATGCAGATGTATCTGATCTGGGTGATGCTCGCCAAGGAAATAATGATGTAAATCTTAATTTCACTCTAGATCTAGATAGAGTATTGATTAGATGGAGGGCAAGGGGGTCTACCTGGAATTAAATTAGTAAAGTCACTGAGAAATCTCATAGGAGTTAAAGCAAACAAACCACACAGAGTTTGGTTTCAAGTAGACCCATGCTAACATAATTATTTCCTGGGATCTGCCACTTTTTTCTGGCAGCGTTTTCTTCATGAAAACTAAAACCAGAGCTCAATAAGAAAACATAAAAAAAGACAAACAGGAAATCTTAGCAGAGTAGGCTTTAGGCAGGTTAGCTAATTCTTGTGCTTAGAATTAGAGTGAGTTTGTTAGAACTACAAGAGTAAGAACTTTTGGTGACAAATTTGCTTAGAAGTTTCCCCCACTCCTTTCCAACAACTATAGAGAATGCTTGAAATAAGCATTTTACTTACTTGTAGGCTTAAAGGTGAGCTTGATGAATTAACTGATAGCTCTTACGGAATTTTAAGGAAGATATTAAATTACGCCTAAGAGTTTTCTTAAATACACGGTCTTTAAGGCTTCTTCACTATTAGCAACAACAACATTTCTAGGGGCTCCTACTAGTCACAATTGTCACCATTTTAGCACCAAAAAGAATAACTATAATACACTGAAACACATTTAAAATATAAAAATTCAGGAGTCTATAATTATACCAAAAAAGAGAAATCTAAAAGAACCTAATCTGTCACCATCTATTTATTAAACCAAATTCTTACTTGGAAGTTGATAATTAAATGGAAAAAATAAACCTGCCTTTCCAGTAAGAACTGTATTTAAAGATGACCAAATAGCCCAACTAGAGGAAGAAAAGCTGTAG